CTGTGGTCGGAGTAACTTTTGCCGTAGTCACTACATTTGGAGTAACTTCTACCGCAGTCACTATGGCCGGAGACGGAGTGTCACTGTGGGCGGCGGGGCAGTCACTGTGGGCGGCAGGGCAGTCACTGTGGCGGTGGGGCAGTCACTATGGCCGTTGGACAGTCACTTGGCCAGAGTCACTGTAGCTGGAGTCACTTTGAATTGCAGGGGCTAATTTGTTGTTAATCACATTTTTGGATTTTTTTAAAATGTTTCACTTTTTTGTCTTATATCCTATTTTTAGTAATATCCAGGCCAAAAGGCCAATAAAAATTACCCGAACGGGTAATGGGGTGGTTTTGGGGCAAACATTAATCCAACGAGGCGGTTTCGGTTTTATGTGGACCTGTCCCCGATCCGCCCCGTTGCCATCACTAATCTAAAATCCATGCTATGATCAGTTAGCCAGTTCCAAAGACTATTAAAGAACTCTGAGGATTCCTTGGCCTTACGGGATATTACAGGAAGTTTATAAGAAGCTATGGAATTCTAAGCAAACCTCTAACCAATTTTCTCAAAAAGAATTTTTTCTCTTGGTCTAAAGAGGCTGATATTACAGGAAGTTTATAAGAGGCTGATTTCCATCATTTGCAATGGAGCCAAAGATTCATTATTTTTTGGCTTGAGAATATGATGGAATAAAGCAAAATGGCTCACCAAACTGTCTGCGCTTCTTTGTTTTGAAGCAGCAGTCAGTCCATGCAATTTTTGGGCGCGATTTTCATTATGGGTCATACGGAAACAGTCTCTCTGTGCTTTAGTACAGGGGTAAGACTGCGTACATCCGACCCCCCTTATTCCACCATAGGTGGGAGCCTTTGCGGCACTGGGGTATATGATGATTGATTGATTGATTGTCTAAAGAGGCTGAAATAGCATTTGCTGACTTAAAACAAGCTATTAGTCAAGACTCAAGATCCAGTTTTGGCTTTGCCAAATTTCTCAATACCTTTTGTAAATGAGACAGATGCTTCAGACATAGGCATTGGAGCAGTGGTATCTCAGAATCAGCACCCCATCGCCTTTATTAGTAAGGCCTTATCTAATAAGAATAGGTCTCTATCCACTTATGAAAAGGAACTCCTAGCAATAGTTTTTGCAGTGGACAAATGGAGACCTTATTTGACAGGGTCACTGGGAATCACTTTGTTATCAAGACTGATCATTTCAGTCTCAAGTATTGGTTGGAGCAAAAGATTACTACTCCTTTTCAGAGTTAATGCCTGCCCAAACTATTGAGGTTGGACTATAAATCTTTACAGAAAGGGGAAGGTGCAGGTGCTCTATCTAAAGTCGGTGCTGGGGAAACCTTTCAGCAATACGATAGTGGCCCTTACATCAATTAGATATTAAAAATGCATTCCTGCATGGAGATCTAAAGGAGGAGGTTTATATGGAACAACCTTCGGGTATTATTGCTTCTGGGGGAGCTGATCTAGTTTGCCGCCTCAAACACTCATTGTATGGGTTGAAGCAGTCCCCACGTGCTTGGTTTGGACGGTTCAATGAAGTAGTACAAAGATGTAACATGATTCAAAGTAAAGTTGACCATTCTGTATTTTACAGAATCCAAAAGGGTCTTAATATCTACCTTGTGGTTTACGTGGATGATATTGTGATCATAGGTGATGATGTAGAGGGAATAAAACTTCTTAAGAAGCATTTATTTCAGCATTTTGAAACAAAAGATCTCGGCAAATTGAGATACTTTCTAGGTATTGAAGTTGCACAATCAAAACAAGGAGTGTACATATCACAAAGAAAGTATGCTTTAGATATTCTTGAAGAAGCTGGTATGACAAACTGTAAGCCAATTGATACGCCGACGGATCCTAATGACAAGCTTCTACCGGGACAGGGGGAGCCTATATCAAATCCCGGTAGATATAGAAGACTTGTTGGAAAACTTCTTTACCTCACTATTACACGTCCTGACATCTCATTTGCCGTAAGTGTTGCAAGTCAGTTTTTACAATCACCGTGTGAGAGCCACTGGAATGTTATCACTCGTATCTTAAGATACATTAAACAAGCACCAGGTACAGGGTTGTTATTTCAGAATCACGAACACACAGAAATTGTGGGCTATACTGACGCAGGTTGGGCTGGGTGCCCATGGGATCGAAGATCCACCACAGGTTATTGTATACTTTTGGGTGAAAATTTGATTTCTTGGAAAAGTAAGAAATAAGAAGTGGTGGCACGATCAAGTGCAGAAGCCAAATATCGTGCGATGGCTCTTGGAACACGTGAGTTAATTTGGGTTAAAAATCTTCTGTCAGAACTCAATTTCTGCAAATTCAAACCCATGAGGTTGACATGTCATAACCAAGCAGCCCTACACATTGCAACAAATCCAGTTTTTCATGAAAGAACCAAACATATAGAAGTGGACTGTCATTTCTTCAGAGACAAGATCAAATCTGGAGACATCATCACTACTTTTGTGAATTCAAAAGATCAATTGGCAGATGTGTTCAATAAGCCTCTTAGAAGACCAAGAATAGATTATATATGTAGCAAGCTTGGAGCCCATGATATATATGCTCCAGCTTGAGGGGGAGTGTTGGAAAATAGCATTTAAAGCATATGTTGTTTTATATTCCAGACTTTCCAGTAGCTTAACTTTTCATTTTCCTTTATGACTTTTAGTTTTCTTTTGTCATTTAATGTACCATTTACTTCCCTATATATATGGGAGTCATGATGTATGATCTGAACAAGTAATACAAAAAGCTTCTCCTCCTAAATCAACAAGTATCATCCTGTCTGAAGTCAGATCGGAATTGATGAACAGAATCATGAATAGTTGGGCTGATGAGAGCAGTCAATTATTGATTAAACAACTAAAAGAATGAGTTGCCACTAACCCTAAGTACTCCTGACAGGATGACAAAATCCTGAGGAAGGGAAGGGTAGTAGTGGGCAGAGATCAGGAGCTCAGGAAGGAGATTTTTAACATGATGCAAAGTTCAGCCTTAGGGGGTCACTCTAAAGTACAGGCTACACTGAAAAGAGCAGGGACCTGTCAGGGTATTTATTCAAGAATGTGGAATCTGTCAGCAAAATAAACCCCTCCAAGCTCCAGCTGGAATTTTGCAACCCCTTCCCATTCCTGAAGCTATTTGGACTAACATCTCTATGGACTTCATAGAGGGGTTACCTAAATTTCAAGGGAAGGACACCATTCAAGTGGTAGTGGATCGTTTGAGTAAGTATGCTCATTTCATTCTATTAACTCATCCTTTCTCTTCAAGCAAAGTAGCTAAATCATACTCCCTCCGTCCCACTAACAATGGAACAAGAGGGAGTGACACGCAAATTAATAAAAAGTGGTTTATGTGGTCGATATTGAATTGATAAAGTAAGAATAAAGTAAGAATGATTTAGAGCCACACAAATTTTACCAAATTTGGTATGGGACAATCTTAGTGGGACGGACCGAAATAGTAAAACGGGACAATCTTAACGGGACGGAGGGAGTATATGGATAATGTTTTTAAGCTACATGGAATGCCTAAAACAATAGTTTGTGAATCTTCCTAAGCAAATTTCGGCAAGAGTTGTTCAAATTACAGCAGGTAGATCTCTTGTTATCTACTGCATACCACTGTTTGAGGGTGGTACAACAGATGGTCAAACTGAGATCGTCAATAAAGGATTGGAAACATATTTGAGGTGCATGACTGGAGAAAATCCGAAAGAGTGGGCAGTCTGGATTCCTTTAGTAGAATGGTGGTACAACACCAATTATGACTCTTCCATTGGAAGAACACCCTATGAGGTGGTGTATGGTCAGCCTCCGGAGATGCAATATCCTTATGTGGCTGGAGATAGTACAGTGGAGGCAGTGGATAGGAGTTTAAGGGCCAAAGAAGAATGTATTAAACTGCTCAAGTTTCATTTGAAAAGAGCCCACGATAGGATGAACATTCAAGCTAACAAACATCGAACTGATAAGGAGTTCTTGGAGGAAGATTGCAACCCTATAGACAGCACTCTCTTGTTTACAGGAGGCATAAAAAAATTCGCCCCTAAATTCTTTGGACCTTTTGCAATCGAAAAGAGAGTGAGCAAGGTGGCGTATAAACTGCAGCTTCCTGAACATTCCAAGATACACCCCGTGTTTCATATTTCTTAGCTCAAGAAACATCATGGGGCGATTCATGTTGAAAGCTACTTACCTATACTAGATGAGCACGAAGTCACAAACTACTAAAGGTGCAACCTTTAGCTGTATTAGATAGGACCGGGGAGCGTAGCTCACCGTATTAGATAGGACCGGGGAGCGTAGCTCACCTGGTAGGAAGAGGGTGTCACAAGGGAGAGGTCCCGGGTTCAACTCCAAGCAATGACTTGGGACAGAACTCGCTCTCTTTCCATCAGAGTGTGATCAAAGCTCAATTTCTCAATTTACATCCTCTCAGATAACTGTCAGGTCAGTTCTGAGGGGCCCTCAGGGATGGGGTGTCATTTTTTTTAGTTGTATTAGACAGGAAGATAACAAGAAGGGGAAACGCAGCAGCAGTTTACTGGTAGATACAATGGGTGAATGGAGATAATGAGGATGATATTTGGGAACTCTATGATGACATTTTTAAGAGGTTTCCAGACTTTATAGCTGCTCTATAATAAGCTTGATGTCAAGCTTATCTTAAGGAGAAGGATTGTTATACGTGGAAATACATATCCAGTGAGTCAGCAAGGCTAATAAGGCATGGGTAAGGATTCTAGCAGCTCAACTGTTAAAACCGTTTGGAAGTTACAGCTAGCTTTTGTTAGTTGTTAGCTTGTGTTAGTTTGTATAATTTTTTTGAATCAAGTCACTTGATTCAAATAATTAATAGTTTGTGTTACTTAAAGGGAGATTGAAGAAACATCTTCAGAAAACTAGTGCAGAAAAGCGAAAAGTTCAGTCACGAGAAGATCTTAATTTAACAAAAAATCGGTACACTACCTACCTCCATAAGTCTAGGGCTAAAAAAGGATGCTCTCAACTCTGGATCTAAACTCTGCTCAGCAAATTTTATTATAGATCTGCCACAGGAATAAAAAGAAGGATGCATGGATATAGCGAAAGAAATTGGATAACAGAATAACTCTAAATTGATTAAATGATAGAAAACTTAAAACCCATGATCTCATATTGCAAGAATTTTGTCAACAAAGAATCACATATCCGACATGATAGCTGAAATTCTACACATGTGGATTGCGTTAAATTGTATACAATGGATATCGTTATTAGTTGAACATAACTTCCCAGATCAATAAACTTGTACAAAAAAAGAGAAATTTACAGGAAAATGACAAAAAAAAGTGAGGAAGATTGTGACAGTTTACACTTTACACATGTTAGCATCATTTTCCAATAGCCTCAAAGTTGAAAGTCTAAACTTTAACAGTGTACTAAACCCACACCAACCAATTAGCTCTGGGAAATTATTATATGTTCATACCAAGGGACCTTAACAGTTAACACCATGCCCGCACCACTCAATAAAAAGATAAGGAACAGATAGGCCAAGAACTAATACTTTTGGAACTAAACTTTGATAGACAGAGTATGCATTCCGTGCATGAATTTTTTCAAAATGAATGAGATATCATGCCGTGAACAATTGTACAATGTAGATCAATACTTTTCAAGTAGCCATGTTAACAAGAAGAAAACGAGAAAACTTGCCCAGAGAGTATGACAACTGGATGCTTTTCAGTCTCCATAATGTGACTAAATTGGGTTTGTATAGCCCTTGGCACCTGATATATTACATAAATGACATCCGTTAATATATGACAGAGATTTGTCTAGGCTGAAGCAAATAAAAGTTCATAAAGGAGTCAAGTATAGACATCATGAAGAGCTTAGACAAACATATTGATTGTTGTCTGGAGCATAAAAGTCCAGACAGCAGGGGCGGACATACATCTTGTTGAATGGGGGCACATGCCCCCAATAAAATGGTAATTTTTAGTTTTATGTAGTTATCTTTTAGTACAAAAAATAGAAGTGTCCCCAATAAAATAATAAGAGTGCCTCCAGCTCTTATGTCTACGGAGAAGTGAAAAACTCTAAGTTGATTATCCAAAAGCAACTAATCAATTAAAGAATCTTCGTTTTTTATGGGCTTCTCTTGATTAATCTTTTCCCTTCTTTAGTATTTTACTTTTTGCATAGATGATTTTTTCTTTCTATTTAGATTTAGATAATGGTTGATTATAGTGTCTAAATATTAATGGGTACTCCCTCTATCCCTAATTAGCTATTTTGTTTTTGTCTTTTCGGGTTGTCACAAAATAATCCTCTTATTTCTTTTTTACAAAAAGTATTTAGTTCATACCATTTTAAATTACTTACTTGAATCTCAATTGCATCTTTTACTTTTTCAATCACTTTATTTATTAAGTACCATACATACAAACCCAAATAAGATAACTTATTCGGGGTATAGGGAGTAGCATTTAGTTTTTTTTTTTTGACAAATCTTTCTAACCTATTATAGTATTTGTTCTGTTAAGGCCAACATCCTTGAACTGGGATGGAATTCGAACCTGTGACCTCCTCTTTGTTAGTGTCACAGTGATGCCATCGTACGTAATTCACATTTGTACTAGGAGCCCGTTTGGTGACCCTGTTATTTGGCTTATCAGGCTTATCGGTGAAATTTTTCACCAAACACATAAATTTTGATTTCACGCGTTGAATTGTGTAATAATAAGAAAAAATAAAGTTGGAATTAGTTTTCTGGCTGCATTGGCTAAAGTTACTGTTGAAGATCATAATAGCTATTTTTCATATAAATTTTTCTTTACTTAAATAATAAAATATATTTTAAATATAATTTTTTCATAAATTAGCAGAATCAGCCAATCCAGACACTTAAGTCAGAACTTCATAAATTTCAGCAAAATCAGTCAATGCAATGATTTGGGTATTACCAAACGGGCTCTAAACCTTTTAAATGATGCCCCCGATAACCCAAAAGTCATGCATGAAAATATGGCATTCATAGTATCACATTGCAAGTGAAAGCAATTAATCAGACTAGAGACAGATTCCTGTAAACCACAAAAGAAATGAAGAATAATGAAAAAAAGTAAGCAATATATATTTTCATGAATGAACAAACCCAATTGTTGGATGCAATCTTCATCAAGAAGTGAACTCTGTATCAATATATATTACGTATTTAGCATGATCCATTAAAAATGCAATATATGAAAGAGAGAATCCCAATTACCAAGGGTGTCTCGCCCTCTCCTTCATCAGCTAAAACATGCCCAGTTATCAATAACAGCGAGTAAAGCTTTTCCAGAGTTTGAGTTGGATCGCTAGTGCCTCTGCCCTACAAGCAATCAATATAACATCTAAAAAGTGAATCAACTTAAAAAACTTCAGAAAATTTTCACTCATAAATAGAGCATAGTGAACCAATGTTGACAACCATGTGGACAGTCAACGCACTTTTAATCTGCCTACTGGAGTAAAAAAGGAATAGCATTCATCGCATTGAAAATTCAAACTGTCTAACCCCTATAATCAGTTAAAGTATTGGGAAATGTTACACCGATGCTTGCACTAATTATACTCTGTTGTACAGCAATTAAGATGATTAACCCTAACCATGATAGGCTTGGCCCAACCATAAATACATTCTTGACTTTGATTCTGGGTATAAACAGAGCTATTGTATACTAATATTATCATACATATATAAATATCCTTTTGTCCTTCACTGGTGAGTCTGAAGGTCTCTTGTAGTCCCGTGACAAAAAAACACTACATATCTGTGATTTTTTATGCTCACACATATCCGGTTATTGAATAGGTAATCCTATACTGGACTACTGGTAATCGGGTATAGACGTATAGTGTGACATCAAGTTTGCATCCCTGTTGCACCCCTTTCTACGAGAACTCATTACCAAAGCTCCAATCACATGACTCCAGCATGCTATTTCTGCTACAGCAACTCCAAAGATAATTTTTTGGTCTATTCTTCTCGAATGTTTTTCACTAAAAAACAGCACCACCATGTAAACTCACCTTGTCAACTTCAACAAGAAACCTAGCACCAGTAGCACTTCAACACACTACCGGCATCCCCTAAGCACCATTCCTTTCAGAATAACTTCCGTTTTTATCTCGCCATCCCAAGTTTCCTTCTCATCTTCCGGAAACCCGACCTGAGAGCATTGACCCCCGCCCCGCAGCTGGTCCATGCGCCACATCTATGCACCGCCCTGTCCAACCAGATAGAGTCTTTTCTTTTGTTGTTGTCATCATTGCTTCATCCTACCTAACCTATAAAAATCCCTTTGCAGATTGCAGTCATCACTTTTGAAAAACTTGTCTTAAGGTTAATTATGTGTCATGACTTATGAGCTGATGTGGTTAAGAGGCTATGGAGAGAAAGTTGAATGAGAACTTACTTATGTAATTAATTGTGTGCTTTTAATAAAAGATTGGTGCAACATATTGAAGTGTTGATGTCTGATGGAATTGAGCTACAAGCTTTAGTATATTTTGCTTCCTCTCTAGATGCAACAAGTGCCATGTAGGAACTTCAAGGGAAGAATATTTACGGAGGTAGTTGTTGCACCATGAAAATACGGTACGCTTCCCTACCACTGTATTCATCAGCTCTTCCACTCCCACCAACTTCACTGCCCGCTTTATTGCTGACAGAAAAACAACCACCACCAAAATGTGTCATCGCTGGAACATCCTTTGACACTTCAGAAAGTTACCTTGCAGTTAGCTTTGTTGTGAGAAAAGCAGCCACCAATAGAAAAGCTATTGTTGCCAGCAGTTTCACTTTCAAGGCAACCGTTATTACTGAATCAGTCATCTCTACCATCTACCAAGATCACCAAAATACTGCTTTCAGTTTAGGATAAAGCCAGCAGTGCCGCATCTAAGTTTGTAATTTAGTTAGAATGATCTACAAGAAAGTGATGCTTTTTTTAGTAGCAGTATTGCAATGGAAAATCTTCCCAAAAACGGAGCTTGGTAGTACTATGTTACATATGTGTCATGACAATAACTGGTTTGGGAAAAAGGCCCTAACAGATGGTAAGGGTATTTAATTAACCCTTTCTAAATCAATGCCCAAATTTCACATCTACTCTCCTTGGGATACCCCAAGTGCAAGCAAATTTCAAATGGGACTGATAAGGTATATGGGCATGGACTCATGGCCCAGATCCTCTAAAGAATGAATAACAAGCCAATCTACAAAGTAGAAACCAAAAGTCAATATTAAACTAACTTTCACAACGATGACGGTTTCAGATTTTCATTACATATTTACATTACTCTTTCTTTAGAATGTTACGGTGGAGAAAGACCTAAACATAAAACATGTCGCAAACCCATTATAATGCTAACTAATTAAAGGGTATTTAATTAACCCTTTCTAAATCAATGCTTTATTTCATTAAATTATAATGCTAACTAATTTTAGATGATCAATTGAGACTATACATTTTGTTCCACCAACCCCAATGTAATTGGCGTTAAGGTGGTTGTGTCGATGATGGTTGTAATGACATTCTCTTTTTAGTTGCCACAATATAGTTGCTGTGACCTAGTTTGTGGCACCAACTAGATATCAAAACGGTGTTCTTGAGAGTCATCTTCAAGAGGAGGTACAAAGAAGCAAGCCTCTTGGTTTCGCTAAAAGATGAACCGTGAATATGATAAGCATTCACATCCTAAACAAACAATAACAACATCCAAGCCTTAGTCCCAAAAGAGTTTGGGGTCGGCTAACATGAACAAACAACAAGAACAACAACAACATTACCCCAGTGCCGCAAAGGCTCCCCCACCTACGGTGGGGTAAGGAGCAGTCGGATGTCTTACCCCTACACTAAAGCAAAGAGAGGTCGTTTCCGGATAACCCATGATGAAAATCCCGTCGAAAATTGCATTGACTGAGTGCTGCTTCATCACTAGGAAGCGCAGACAGTTTAGTGAGTCATTTTGCTTTATTTCATCATATTCCCAAGCCAAAAAAAAGTGATTCTTTGGCTCCATCATGTCGTCTAACATGAACCAACATATGAAATCGGAGCTAAAAAATAAAATGAGATCAATCCTCCACACGTATATTCTCTCTTCACTTCGCTCTCTCCAAAGTCATACTCTCATCCTAAACATGTGCATAAATAGGGCTTTGTTTTTGGATATTATCACTTAAAAAGAAAATTCATCTCCCTTCACAAGCAATGACAAATAAGGTGATGTTGTAATTATTCATAAAGAAAATGTCTTGGATATTTTCGATGAAAGAGACATGTATGACGTTATTTGTAGACAAGTGGACGAATATTTGACGTCTCAAAGTATTGTGTCTGTAGAGGCAGCAAACTGGTCTCTAGGAAGTGTAAGAAGCAGGATGAGGATGTGCTAATCAATTAGGAGAATATACACTAAACCTGAGGGACTTGGATTGTTACATTTGTAACAAGCTTGGTACATACTCCCTCCGTCCTGAAAAGGTTCGCCAACTTTGACTTTCACGTGGATTAATAAAGTAAAAACTGTGTGGTTGAAATTTGTGCAGAGGAGAGAGAATTAACTTTAACCACATATTCCTTACCTTAAATGGAAATGGCAAATATTTTTGGGACATCCAAAAAAGGAAATTTGGCAAACCTTTTGGGACGGAGGAAGTATATCTTATATGATCTAGCTTGATGGGGTTGTCAATAATGTATGCTAACCCAAATGAGTTTGTCCCAAATATAAACATGATTATCATTCATTATCTAGAGTATGTGTACAAATAAGGATATTGCATATGAATATTGTCATTTTACAAACAACTTACTCGTCTTCCTTCATAGCCATCAACATACCACAAGAAATTTCATAGCAATGATGTACCTGATGAAGCTCCGCAAAGCACTCAGAGAACAGTCTAATCAGTAAAGGAACAGTAATGTCAACAGCAGCTCGAGCAATAAGGGCATAAGTGCTTAATCTTTCATCCATTGCTACAAAGTAACAGAAATTAGACACAATAAGAGTCTACAAGTAGAATACGAAATAAAAATAATGAACGTTAAAGTGTAAAAGCACAAAAATTAAGTACTTTTTTAGGCACAGATAAGTACCAGCAATAGAGGCCTGAAAGTAATTAGATTCATTGTCATCATTAAAGGCTGATGCAGAAGCAACTACAGGAAAAAATGTAACAGGCAGCTCAAGGATAAAATATTCATTTCAAATTTCAATAGTAACTTAAAGCAATTCACCATGGAAACATTAGGGATTACCCTGTAACTCAGATTCTACAATTAATGTGAAAAGATCGGCTGCAGCAGTAATCCCTTCAGGTGGGAGCAAAGCCTTGCAATCTGTACGATCCAATGGCTGACAATGTATACAAAAGGGGGGTTCATGCTTCATAGAGAAGTAGAGAACAACTTAACAAGATAAACTGTTCGGTGAAGAACCCAAACTCAAAACTCACAGTAAATGAAAAAGTTAAATGAAGAAGTAAAGCCCTAGTTTCAACTGCCTCCACCTCAACTTCCATCTTCCATATCAACTGTATGGAATACTGAACTACTGATAAATACAACTATAATGCTGATATAGTTATAGAGAAAAATAAACCAAAACCTGATAGGAATACGGACCTAAAATCTAACCCCAATGACAATATGAAACCGTAATAAGTCTAAACGAGGAGTAATATGTTTATGTAACTAAATTTTATCTATGTTAATTATTTAACTACAGTCTTAGGATGTTTTTACTTAGACTGGTTTCAGTCTCAGACCAGACCAAAATAGAACGGACTTAACCAGACTAGAACAGATTTTGGCAGTTGTAAAGTGCACATAAACCAGAGTACCAGACATCTATGAGAGCAGTTCATAGTTCAGACCAGACCAAAAAAATTCAATCTAATTAAAAACATTCTTAGAAGTAATATGGTTAGGAAGATATATTCTAGAAGACCACAACATTGACTTGACATAGCTCTTTATTACTAAGTCTAATGTTGATTTACTACACCTTTGACCATAGCTTTCTTCTTCTATGATAAAGGGATAAAATTGTGGTCGTTATCATTACTTTGTATAGTAGTACTGGTCACTAGCTTCACACCTGTCATTCTTCTCATGAGAGTCCCGAAACAGAAGGAGATAGAAAATTTCACATGAATATTTCTCACACGCCATCGTGTGAGGCCAGAACTACATGAGAAAGGGACAGCACGTGCAGTAGGCTTGGTGTGACTGGTCTCAGCAAAAAAAAGTGGTCAGAGATGCTAAACGTTAATCCGGGAAAACAGTGTGAGTGTTCCTACATACAGAAACACGTGCATATGGCCAATATTGACAGGAGTTTTTCAGAACAGTTAAGGACTATGCTCCAATTCCATGTTGAATAATTAACTATTACTACCTCCGTCCCACTAAGATTGGGACGGAAGAAGGTGACACGATTATTAAGAAAAGTATGTTTGTGTGGTTGATATTAAATTGATAAAGTAAGAATAAAGTTAGAATGATTTAGAGCCACACAATCTTTACCAAATATGGTATGAGACAATCTTAGTGGGACTTCCCAAAAAGGTAAAATGAGACAATCTTAGCGGGACGGAGGGAGTATTTCTTTTGATATGACATTTTAAGTTACAACTCCATTCATTCTAAAGACTACTGCAATGCTTATATAGTGAATATCACCTTATCCTTCAATTTTAACATATTTAAATCACATGTATTATATATATGTTTTAAGCTTTTTTATGAAAATCACCTTATCCTTCAATTTTAACATATTTAATTTGACATGTATAATGGCGGGATTGGCGGCAAGTGTGCAGCTAGTGACATAGCCGTTGATGTTGGCAGACTGACAGCAGTCAGCCATGATGGCAGCTAGTGATGGCCATCATGGTGGAAGTGTAGGAAGTAGGAACTGAAGCGGTTGCAAGCAACGGTAGCAAGTGGAAACCGATGATGGAAAGTCAGCAGCAGTGTGCCTGGTAGGGGTTGAGTGTGGTTTGGGATACATGTGAAATTAAATATTTTGAAAGTTAAAATCAATTGGTTAAGAGCCATACGATGATACTATGATAGTAACAAAAAACCTGAAAATACCATTTAAATAATACATGGGGGTCATCAGCAGCACTTGAAGCAACCATTATGCTTAAATAAGCACATATGAGCTATATATTATGGTTATTTCAACTGTATTAATCACCTAATTATATGTTTAGCAGCAAAGTAAACATGACTTAAGTATCATGTATTATGTTTAATTCAACATGTCTTATGTTGAGTAAGTAAGACTACTCAGGGGGGAAAAGAGCTACCAGTGCCACCAGCATCATCCATAAAACAGGGATGTCAAGTCACATAATTCATCCAAACACGTAACTTTTAATTTTGCACGCTGAATTGTATATTAATACGTAAAAGTAAGGTTGGAGTTACTTTTCTGGCTGTATTGGCTGAAGTTACTGTAGAGGATCATTTTAGTTATTGTTCATATAATGCATTATTTATTTATTTAAAAAATTATATTTTAAATATAATTTTTTTTTATAAATCAGCAGAATCGGCCAATCCAGCCACTTCAGCTGAAACTCCATAAATTTCAACAGAATGAGACAATGCAGCCATTTTGGGTATTACAAAACGGGCTCTAAAACTGCTCGATTAATCACATTGTATATTAATATCATAGCTTCAACAGCATAAAAATACCATGAGAAGTGTAGTCCAAGAATCTAGTAAGATATCACGTGCCACCCAGCTCCAAGTCTCTTCTTCTGTGCAATTCTCTATTAAATCCTTGATTGCTTCACACATTAGGGCACACAATAGGCTGAGAGTTCCGTAAGGCCTGAGCATCAATAGCGTAGCAAATCACATAAAATTGGGATTTATATGTACTAAAAGTAGAAGTGCATTAAAAAGAAAATGCTGCTCAAGTATGACACTGGATAACAGATCCGAACAGTTGATCAAATATGTTTTAGTAGAGTTGTTCAAGTATGTTTCACTCACATGTAACTAACCTTATAGATCTCAACAGTTGATCAAATACAATTGGAGAGGTAACAGTTGCAATGGATAATAGTGACCGGCAGCCATCTAGCAGCTCACTGCATTCACCACAAATCGGTAAAGCAACATCTAGAATACTATGAATAAGGATTAGATGTTAAGAATTGACCTTTCACTTTTCCCTTCTTTAATCGCTTTTGAAACAACACTAGGAGGGTCAACCCATTGGATGATTCCAGAGAGCAGTTGCAGAAGGAGATGTTTTTGGGTTTGTCCATCATCTACAAATTAAATGCATGTGCACCTTTGAATTAGGACAGAACTTTCCACACCTCATGTCAATTTTCAAAAACCAAAGGTTAAATGGTAAAGAATAGAAAAGCAAGCAATCCGGGTACATGTGAGAGACTTTTCTTTAACTTCAGTAGATAATGAATCAATAGAAGAATAGCATGTTTGTTATTGATGTAAAACAAACAAAAAAACGGTGGGAGGAAAGGCAGCAAAAAGGATGAGATAATGTAAAGTATATTAGTAATAATTGGATCAAAGCACATAATAAGCCTTATCACATGATGCAGCAGCTATTCAGACTAGCACATCCATAGGCAAAGGAATGTTGACCTTTCTCTTTTGACGGATTTTCACATAGCTTATTTTTCGTATCTTTCCCTTATTGATCACATAGTTTGATTGTTAATCTTATATCTTTGTTAGTCCAGTTTCTAGTCCACAGACGTATGTCCTATGTGGCTGTGCGCGATGAAAAACAAGTGATGGAGAGTGGAGGGTCATTGCTGATGGTGCCTAAAACTATGTAGCATTTAAGGATCCAAATAACATCCAAGGATAATTATGGAGCGTAGTCCTTAGCTCAAGTTGAGTTGTATGTGTACAAAAGTTTCATTAGAATCTCTCTAACTTCAGACTACTTTAACACTTTGTATTGCGATAAACTTCACAACATATTATGTAGCTTAACTTATGGCAGTACAAAGAACTGTACTGCTGAGGAGTTCAAAATTAGGAAAGCGAAGGGTTCACAAAGAAGGTAACTAAAACTCATAGTAATTAGTAATGATATTAGTAGATTAGTGGAAATTTATATTTCATAGGATATTAGTAGATTAGTGGACCAGATAGTGGGGGAAACGGGGTAGTTAGTAATTGTTCAAGATTGTATAATTATCAACTTCTTATTACAGCACTAATGTACATGTGCATAGTTTATAAACGCTTCGCTATCATATTGAAATATACATTAAATTTGTATTGTACTATTATAGAACTCTGTTTAGCATTATGTTTCTCTCATTACAACTTGTTTTGATTTTGTTACCTTACCGACTTTGCAGTAGTGCCTCAACAGCAATTGGACTGCCCTAAAAGACTAAAAAGGGTATATAAGTTTCCTACATGATAAAAATAACCATTTTATAAGATGTTTCAAGAACCAAAAGGTATGCAAATTTACACAAGTGAGCACAACAATTTAACGGACTTCTTATAAATATTAATATGAGAATTCAATGTTCATGAATATCACACTGACCCCAATCTAGTTGGATTAAGGTAGCAGTGATGATAGTGATAATCAATTAATGAGTACGAACCATGCGTTTTTGCATTCACTTAGGAGATTAAGATTAAAAGCTAATCATCAGTTGAAAATAAAATGAAAATCAAGTACCAGATGGAAATATAGACCCTGACAACGAGCAGAACTGCACTATAAGTTTGCGAGCGCTGACAGCAAGAGGGCAATCAATCCAATAACCCTCACAGGAAAACTTTTGCCTGAGGGAACCATATAGGTTTAGAAGCCATCCAACAAGACCACCTGATGTCAGCACAGCTCTCCAGGAGGGTCCAGGCTAGAAACAAAATTACAAGGTGAACAACTAGTGCCAAAATATACAAGTTCAGTGTAATACAGTTTCAAAACATAAATGTTGAAGCATTAGGCAACTTAGCTGCTATTATTTAACATCCATTAATAATCTGAAATGGTAAAAAAGATTTCAAAGGAAAAGGATAGAAGAAAAGAGACAGAAGAACAGTATAAAGAATCCAACAGCAATCAATCACAATAGGCCAGTCAAGCACTCAAGCTACATGTGCAGTATTCCGTTTGCGAGCCTTTTTCATTTACAAAGGGGGTTTAGTTATTCCGTTTGCACCACCTTACACAAAATGATTTGTAATAGTAGAAAGAAAAAGTTTCTTACTTGAACCAAATTACAGTCTGTCGTTCTAGGTGTATCTGTGGCATGCTTAATTCCATCAGGAATATCCATGACTTGTTGTGCGCCATTAGGCATCATGGAATTCTTTTGAAAATCCCAGTTCAAAATTTGATGCATGACACGCAGAGACATTGTGCACACTTTAACTTCAGGAACAGCAGAATGAGACTCAACTATTTTACCAGAAACACCTATAGCAGCATCTTGTGCCCAGCAGAAGAACATCTGTGAAGTGAGAATATTATATAGAATTGACACGAAGAAATCTATCTTAAAACAAGAGGGAATAATACTCTTTACCCACAAGCTATTAGGGGGTTATAAAGGTGCTGAAGCAATCTAAGGTAGCAAACATTAATACCAAATCCAATCAACCTACCATCAGATATTCCAGCTCCAATGATTTCTTGCACTGTTCATGAAACTCTCGTGGAAGACCCATAGCAGTTGAAGTAGAGAGTGAAAATTCAGAAACCTGAAATAATAACAATTTTGAACTGATTGTATATAGTAAAAATCCAAGCCATAGACCATAAGAGAGAGGTTGTTGTCATTCCAAAACTCAAAGCTAGTATAGGTGAAAGAGTGTTTCTACAAAACAAATACCAGAGATTCCAAAAAATGAATTCCGGCAAACTGCGAATCAAGACCATGGCTGCCGATGATTGCCTGCCTTGCCTTCATTTAAAGAAATGTGGAGCCAAAATTAAATTAACATAAGCAAAGTACAAAACCAGCTTGAACAAATAGAGAGAACAAATAGTTTCCATCATTTGCAATGGAGCCAAAGACTCACTATTTTTTGGCTTGAGAATATGATGCAATAAAGCAAAATGGCTCACTAAACTGTTTGCGCTTCTTTGTTATGAAGCAGCACTCAGTCCATGCAATTTTAGACGCAATTTTCACTATGGCTCATCCGGAAACAGTCTCTTTGTGCGTTGGTGGTTCGTGGTCGACCTTTCTTGATGTTATTGATGAAAAGATGAAAGATAGGTTAGATGGCACATTGAATTTTACTGCATACTATTTGAATCCCTGCTATTCTTATAAGGATGGTGACATTCCGTTGGATCAATTGGTTATGGATGGGTTCCTGAATTGTGTTGAGACTTTTTATCATGGAGATTTTGAGAAACAAGACAAATTTGTCAATAATGAGATTAATGTGCATAAGAACAAAGGAGTAGATTTTGGGAGGCAATGAAAGGGTGTGAGCAAAATGACCACAAACGTGATCCAGGTATATATTTTACATCTTTTTATTATATGAATGTTTATCATTAACTCAGATGATACTATGACACCTAGTTATTATTTTATTACTTGAGGATTGGGAAATCAATGGTTCACTTAACACTAGTTAGAATGAGAAGACACGAGTTAGTATGCTTTAGTGTATATGTTTTCTGGATTTTTAATGACAATTCACATGTTCTATTTGTTAATAAAAATCAGAATAAACCTGGATAGTAAATTGGTTCCGAACTATGGATTAATCTGGTAACTATTTTAAAAATACATTGATTTTGAAGGTTAAATATAAAAGATAATGCAGTTAAAAAATACACTAATCTGGTAAGTACTTATAAGTACTAAAAACAGATGTTGCGAGATTAACTATGCAATTCTTAATATATTTATCCTTCCCAGAGAATTGGTGGACAACTTATGGACATCATGTACCAAATTTGCAAAGATTAGCTATCCGGATTCTCTGTTTGACTAGTAGTTTGTCCAGTTGTGAACAAACCTGGAGTACTTTTGAAGGGTTTAGTTCATTAACTACTTTTATTCAATTAAGCACTGTACTTCAACTTTGGAGTTTGATTTAATTTTTAGTCTGAAAATATCACTTTAATTTTAAAAAAAATTATGTTTAAATGCACTAGATTCATATGAAGAAAAGGAACAGGTTAGATGTCAATCGTCTAAACAGTTTGGTATACGTCCAATTCAATGCAAAGTTACTCAAAAAAAGGACATGGACGATTTTATTGATTTGCTAGCAAGTGACGCTATGTATGCACAAGGATGGTTAGTTGGTGAGAGTGAAACTGATGAAAATATTACCCATGTTGTTAGAAAGCATCTCAAGAAGATGAAATATTACAACCACAAAGGAGTGACAGGCTGAGAGAAGTATATGATGATGACTTTGAATCAGATTCAGAAGAAATAGACCTCGACATTGATTTTCAGTCCAATGGAGAAGAAGAAATGGCATAGCTTTGAAGCTGGTTTTGTACTTGATAATATTAAACTATTAAGGAATTGTAGCGCCTCTTTAACTTGTTCTTTATTTCTGATTTACATTTTGAATCATTGCTTACAGAGGCGGCTATAGGGCCATTTAGCCTAGGCAAATGCATTGGGCCTCTCATTTCAGTGGGGCCTCATATTCTTGAAATCTTATTAATACTATTCGGTATATTTTTTAATTCACCTATATTAGTATTGGCATTTTATCCGTACTATAGTGGACATGATACGGTGCATGTTTTTATACGACCGATGAGAAAATGTGCGTTGGCCTCTTGGAGTGCATCTTTTAAGTAATTTTTCATTTGTCTCCTAGCAAAAATTAAGTGGAGTTGAAAAATTATAAATGTCAGAGAATATATTACATGGGTTAGCTATCTATTTAATTGGGGGAAAACTATCAGCTAGTCTGTGATGTTTTTAGGAAACTTTTACAAGTAGTTCTACACTTCTACATTTGAGAAGTTCTTTATTTTAGAGATTAGAGTCCGTTTGATGACTTTGTTTTTCGGCTTATCAGACAACTTTTTAACCATATAAATAATTTTAGATTTCACGCTAAATTGTGTAACAATAAGAAAAAGTGAGGTTGAAATTACTTTTCTGACTGTATTGGTTGAAGTTACTATAGATGACCATTTTAGCTATTTTTCATATAATTTATTCTTTATTTTATTCATATAATATATTTTAATCTTTTTTTCATAAATTAGCAAAATCAACCAATACAACCACTTCAGCCAGAACTTCATAAAGTTCAGAAAAATCAACTGATTCAGCCGATTTCAGTGTTACCAAACGGACTCTATGTGAAATGTTGTAGATAGTAAAAAGTGATTTCATTTGGAAAATAAAATGATTTTGAGCAAGTAAAAATCAGATTTTTGATTGAAAAAATCACTGTAATTGAAAAAACACCTTTTCCCTTAACTTTAACAATTTAGCTTCAATATGTTCGATATAAGCAAAATAATCTACTTCAAAATGCGTAACTTTGTTGCACAGATTTTTTTTTTGAAAATTTTTCATAGTTATTTTTTTTGAAAGGAAAATTCATCATATGTATGAAAACTGATACAAGCGCTTAATTTATCTCGTGGAAGGGATCGCTCGGTGCTTGGGCCGGTTATTGCTGACGTTAAAATTCTTGCTAGTAGCTTTCTTGTTTGTTCTTTTAAGCATGTTAATCGGGTGCTGAATATGGCAGCACATACTTTAGCTCGATCTTGCGAGTTTAACTGTGATCGTGTTTATCGTGATGTAATCCCGGAATGTATCCGTGATGTACTTTGTAATGATTTTACTTAATCAATGAAATGCATGTTACTCTCAAAAAAAAGATAGATTTTTTTCGCCAAAACAGTCTTGCCTGCCGCCTTGGGCCTCCAAGTCTCTGTAGACGCCCCTGATTGCTTAGTTGGCTGAACTGTTGAGCTTGTGTTTGCCATTTATGATTTTGGGATGATGATCTATTACTGAACTTGTTAGGTTTGTTGCTTGGTTGCTAAATTCTTGAAATATTGAATTTATCTTTAGTTTAAGTCATGTTGAGTTGTTTTAAATATTGGTTCTGTAATCTCTCATTTTTTATACTCCGTAGTACTCACTCCGTCCCATTTTACTAGTCCTACTTTCTATTTTGGGTTGTCCCAAAACAAGTGTCACATTTCTTTTTTTGGAAAGAAATATGTGGTCTACAACATTTCACTTTACTATATTCAAATCTTAACCACAACGTTTTTTCCAACCACTTTATTAGTAATTGTGTCAAACCAAAGTAAGACACATAAAATGGGACGGAGGTAGTATTAAATCAATCAAATCCCCGAACTTTGAAAAAACGTTCAATTGAGTAAATTAGCAGGTTACCCGTCATGTCAGCAAATCACCTGTTGGCATGGCGCACACGTGGCGGTCTACATGTGCGCTGTGAAAGACATTGGAATATACTGTATAATATGCTTTAGAATATTCTTCTATCTTTAGAATATGCTTTAGAATAATTTAGGAATATACTCTAGGATATTATTATTGTATAGCATCTTATAGGAATATTCTATCTTTGTAATGTATATATATAGGGACTTAACCCTCCAATGAAATACACAGAAAATCTTTCTCTCCATCTTTAATATCATTTTAGTTTATATTTCAACGTGGTATCAGAGCAATCTGTTCTATTTTAGCTTACTTTCAGAACCTCAGTTCACGCCTCAGTTTCAGAACCTCAGTTCTATCCTTCAAGTCCTCTTTCGAACCTCAGTTCACGCCTCCATCGGAACCTTACCCGAAATTCAGAACCTCAGTCCAAAATCCACAGTTTCACAAAGCATCACCTCCACCCTAACCAGGCACACCCTCCGCCGCCGACATTACACTCCAAATCCGAACGCCCAAATATCCGCGCGTAGGCTACACGCGCCGTCAGAAATACTCACAGATGACGCACGCGCCGGCGTGTGACGCCATTTTTCTGGCCGGAGCATCAATCGGAACCAATCCTCAGACTCGCCGTCGTGTCCTCTACCAGCTATTTTCAGGTATCCTCTGTTTCGGTCTTTGAAGTCTCACTTGTTCTCTCTCCAGCAAGGCGCTGGTGAGGCTATTTGGTCAAAATTCGGTGCTGCTTGATACGATGGGTAAAACCTACTAATCTGGTGTTGTTGAACGTGGACTTGGCGAGGCCTCTTGTACGCTATTCTCCAGGTTATATTTTTCAGTTTGTGGCTTTAATTATTAAGTAACAACGTACGGCATTCAAGGATGTTATTTCAGTGGCCGTAAGTTTACTTAATACGGAGTAGTTAATACCTAGTATCTTATGTCTGCAAAAAAAAATCAAAAAAAACCTCTGCAGTAACTCAAAGTCGGCCTTTGATAGTTTCTGAAGTTATTCCCATTAATTTTAAAATTACTGAGAATAAACTTTGTGGCTCCAATTATCTTGAATGGAGTAAAACTATCAAACGTTATTTAAGGAGCATTGATAAATATACCCACTTAGTTGATGATCCGCCAAAGGAGGAGATTGATAGAGCTACTAATGTTATCTGGCTTCGTGATGATTCTAGATTATTTATCCAGTTTCAGAACTCAATGGAGAACGACGTCATGGGGTATGTTAGTCATTGTGATACTGTGAAAGAACTAATATGAGTATTTAGAATTTATGTATTCAGGCAAAGGTAATCTTAATCACATCTATGAGGTGTGCAAAGCCTTTTACAGAGCATAAATGAAAAATAAACCTCTCACGGCTTATTTTATGGATTTCAAGAAAACTTATGAAGAGCTTAATACATTAATGCCATTTAGTCCTAATATCAAAGTGCAGCAAAAAACAACGAGAACAAATGGCGGTTATGAGCTTTTTGGCTGGTCTTACGACTGATTTTGAAACAGCCAAATCACATATC